TTTATGTTCTATTGAAAGCACATTGATTTTGTGTTAATTTGAGTCTTTGCGTTATGAATTCTGATGTTTTGCGTTCAATTTGGGTTTTTGGAATTTCGAATTTGTACCCTTTGCTCTAATTAATTTTGATTTCGTCTGTTATTGTTGGGTTGGATTAAATTTCGAACCTTTCGTTTTTGTTCTCAAAGTTTTTCAGTTCTATCTATTAAATGTTTTCGTTCTCAAAATTTTTGAGTTCTATCTATTAAATATCTGTTAAAAGACCCGCATGCATTTACAAAATTCCAATACAGTTATTATGTATTTCATTCTAATTTTTGTTTGATTTTTAACAGTGTTATTTCAAATATGCTATTAGCCAGGACAACATGATGGGACTAACATATTTCCGCTTCATTGATGCAGAGAGAAAATAGTGGAATGACATTGATGTTCAACATCTTCGTTTGGAAAACAAGATTTTTCCCAATTTGATGTGGAATTAATGGGAGTTGGAGAAGGCGAGTGAAGGTCAAACTCTCTAAATTCTTCTCTTTGTTTCTAATTCTTATGAAGGACTTTGATATTCTGCATTTGGAACTTAGAATCAAGGTTCTAAGTGGTTACCATATTTAAGCAGCCACTTTGCTCCAGATCTTTCCGATTGAAATTCCTCTCCTTCACCCTTTGCATGTTGAATTTCACGTCATCATCATCTCCCTGGAGTTTGGTTCATACTAAATTTAGGTGGTTTCACTTCATGAAAGCTAACTGTTAATTTTAGACCTGGAATATAATTTCTTGGAGAATGTACATTGTTGATGATAATTTTTCGAACAATACTGCCCCAAAAATTCTCCTCATGTTACCCTCAAGGTAGGCATCGTATAACCATCATTCGAACTTCTCAACCATTTAAAGGGCTCATTCCAACTAGTGCCATTTGGTTGTAGAACAGCTTTGCAACTTCTTTTTGATCTCTTATATTCTGGTTACCTTCAAGGTAGGCATCGTATAACCATCATTCGAACTTCTCAACCATTTAAAGGGCTCATTCCAACTAGTGCCATTTGGTTGTAGAACAGCTTTGCAACTTCTTTTTGATCTCTTATATTCTGATTACCATTTTACTCTCTCTCTCTCTTTCTCTCTCTCTCTCTTTCTCTCTCCCCTTTTTTTATGCATATGAATTGTGTTGATGCACAAAACCGGAAGGTCTTGGAACAACGTAAATCTGACCGTGAATCTGCAAGAAAGTAAAGAACACAAGATGTATCGTGGTTCACCCCAATGTTTGGGCTACGTCCACACTGATGTTGATATATTTCTTTATAACTGTATGTATGGATTACAAGCTCAAGGGGAGTCCCCCTGAGGAAGAGAGTGTTGTTGTGTTTGTGAGGGTATTGCCCTCTGTTGGGTTCACCGAGTCCGATTTGTGAGGGGGGAGGAGTCCCATTTTTATAGAATAAGGGGCTCCTCCTTTTACATAATTATGGGCTGGGTAATGAGGCCCAATGTGTCAAGGTCTGAGGCCCAATATTTGTGGTATCAACAGTAGTCCCCTAAGTCTTCAGTCAAAAGAGTCTTTTGGCTGGAGACTTGAAATTCAGTCCGTGTGTGGGCCGAAATAACTAGATTTCATCTAGAACTGATACTCGATATAAGGTGGTGCTCAATGTGAAATGATGCTCAACTAGAAGTAGCACATGTTGCGAGGCTGCTCGGCTTGTGGCTTATGTTGCCTTGGTTGGCTTGGCTTGCGGTGTTGAAGGTGAGGGAGTCCCTTTTATAGAATAAGGGCTCGCTCCTCAATACATAAATGATAGGCTAGAGTTGATGCTCGTGGCGAGGCGGTTGCTCAGCAGGCGGCGATGCTCTCTAATGATGGTGAGGGAGTCCATTTTATAGAATAAGGGCTCGTTCCTCAATACATAAGTGATGGGCTAGAGTTGATGCTCGAGGCGAGATGGTTGCTCAGCAGGCGGCGATGCTTTTTAATGATGGTGAGGGAGTCCCTTTTATATAATAAGGGTTCGCTCCTCAATACATGAATAATGGGTGCTCTCTAATGAAAGTGAAGGAGTCCCTTTTATAGAATAAGGGCTCGCTCATCAATACATAAGTGATGGGCTAGAGTTGATGCTCGAGGCGAGGCGGTTGCTCAGCAGGTGGCGATGCTCTCTAATGATGGTGAGGGAGTCTCTTTTATAAAATAAGGGTTCGCTCCTCAGTACATAAATAATGGGCTAAGTCCCCCAAGTATTTTTCATGAGGCCCAGTTGCGGAAGCCCAATATATGGTACATAGTGTAGTCCCCCAAGTCTTCAGTCAATATGGTATGTTGGCTGGAGACGTCAAATTCAATCCATGTATGGGCCGAAGTGGCGGTTGTTCGGAGGCGATCTTTGTATACCATGCACTGAAGCTTTGTAGGTGAAGCTTTGCAAGTGAAGCTTTGAAGCTGGAGTTTTTGTAAATGAAGCTTTTGAAGCTGGAGCTCTGTAAATGAAGCTTTCGAAAGCTGATTGACATGAGTGATGCTTATGAATGTTTATGTTGATTGACGTGAGTGATGCTCATGGATGTTGACATGAGTGATGCTCATGAATGTTGATATGAGTGATACTTATGAATGTTGACATGAGTGATGCTCATGAATGTTTATGTATGATTGACATGAGTGATGCTCATGTATAATTTTGGAGTAGTGGACGTACTTTTGATCACCTAGTTGGTGATAATAACGGCAGGCTATCGAATAATTTTGGAGTACTGGACGTACTTTTGATCACCTGGTTGGTGATAATAGTGGCAGGCTGCCGAATAGTTTTGGAGTACTAGACATACTTTTGATCACCTGGTTGGTGATAATAGCGGCGAGCTGCCGAATAATTTTTGGAGTACTAGACGTACTTTTGATCACCTGGTTGGTGATAATAGCGGCAGGTTGCCGAATAATTTTTGGAGTACTTGACGTACTTTTGAACACCTGGTTGGTGATAATAGCGGCAGGCTGCCGAATAATTTTTGGAGTACTGGACGTACTTTTGATCACCTGGTTGGTGATAATAGTGGCAGGCTGCTGAATAATTTTGAAGTACTGGATGTACTTTTTTATTTTTTTTACACATCAGTATAACTATACAATAATTGCTCCAGTTTGCAGAAGACAACTTAATAAAATATTCATCAATAACAGTGGGTATGGGTGTGCCATGCTTCCTCGGCTTTTCTCCATCTCCAGACATCTTTTTCTTTTTCATTATTTTCCTCCCTTTATTCCTTACTTTTGCTTTTTGCTTTTTCTTTTCCACCGCACCTTTCTCTGTCTCTCCCCCTGGCAGACAAAAGGAATCATGATAGAATTAATAATAGGAAGCTTATCTTTTGCTTTTCTTGATCTCCCTGCTCATTCTCTATCCACCCATGTTGCTTTGCAAGGTCATCATTTGCTTTTCTTGATCTCCCTGCTCATTCTCTATCCACCCATGTTGCTTTGCAAGGTCATCATTTGCTTTTCTTGATCTCCCCGCTCATTCTCTGCCCACCCCGCTCATTCTTTGCCTACCCATGTTGCTTTGCAAGGCCTAGTTGTGTCAATCTTTTCATCAGATTCCACTGCAGTGGCTTCAAATCCATCAACACCACCTTGGTAACTTATAATAGGCTCTCCTTCAATCGTCACAATGTAAACATCAGCTTTGCCAATAATTAAAAGGGAAAACAGTACAACAGCTGCGCACCCAAACTCGACGGCCACCATTTTTACCATTCAAGCATCCAACTTCAGTACTCCACAAGATTTGTAGAGATCCAAAGGGGCGAATCAGCAAAGGAGAGTGAGGGGACTGATGATAGTGAAGGCGATGGGCCTCGTAATCTTCCATAGCTTCTTTCAGAGGAGTCAAAGACAATCGATCGATTAAGAAGGGGATCGACTATGAAAAACCATGGATCCCGAGAGGGAATCTAAGAGCAAGCAAGCTTAAAACTGGGAGAAGATGCAACTGATTTCGATCTTTTGCACACCGAAGTAAGGCGGAAGAAGGCAGATGTTGGTAGTCTCGACAGCACCCTTTCGAGAAGGTCTTCATTAAGCTCATCTATACCAAATGTGCTTGACATACAATCATCTTGCTCTAGGGATTTTCTCTTCAGATTCATCATAAAAACTGGGCAAATGTTGTGCTCCATGGACTAGAAATTAGAAAGAACACAACTTTTCCTGCTGCGGTTGCATCAACAGTGGCGCTGCCATAAGGTCTGAGTAGAGGAGGATAGTGAGAGTGATGAAGTGAGGCTAGTGGGTCTTTGTCTCTATCTTTAAATTGGGCAGTTTTTGGGAGAAAAAGATTAAAGGAAAGAAAGGAAGGGAGAAAAAGAGCTATGGAGGAAGGACACGGCAGCTTGGTTACTTCCCATCCTGATGACGATGAGAAGATTCGAGAGAAAGAAAAATGGGTTTTGGAGGGTTTTTAAACTGCACAGAGTCTGCAAAAGTTTTTTGGAAAATCCCCAAAGAGGGAGGTTCTGGGTTCTTGGGTTGTGAAGATTTTGCAGATCCACGGCGGAGGTGAAAAAATGAAAGAGAACCGACACAGCTTTTCATGTCGTTTCCCACAGACGGGGCCAAATGTTGATGCACAAAACCGGAGGGTCTTGGAACAACGTAAATCCGACCGTGAATCTGCAAGAAAGTAAAGAACACAAGATGTATCGTGGTTCACCCCAATGTTTGGGCTACGTCCATACTGATGTTGATATATTTCTCTATAACTGTATGTATGGATTACAAGCTCAAGGGGAGTCCCCCTGAGGAAGATAGTGTTGTTGTGTTTGTGAGGGTATTGCCCTCTGTTGGGTTCACCGAGTCCGATTTGTGAGGGGGGGAAGAGTCCCATTTTTATAGAATAAGGGGCTCCTCCTTTTACATAATTATGGGCTGGGTAATGAGGCCCAAATGTTGAGGCCTAATGTGTCAAGGTCTGAGGCCCAATATATGTGGTATCAACAAATTGTTTCTTAAATATTTTTTTTATTAATCACTACAGAGCACTTCTTTTTGACATTAGGTAATAAAACTACACAAGTTCTACCGTGAACATTACCATCCCAACAATTCACAATTTTGGCTATGTAATACATTGTACAAACAAGTATCTTTTGTTCCTTATTGAATATAAAGATGTAAATAGACTTTATTCTATCCGATACGTTGAACACAGTTTTAAGATCCCGCGGCGTCGCCCGGGGGGGCTCAGTAGTAAAGGAGAAAAGTTATATATTGTTCTTTGGACAAGAAGTATAAAGGAAAACAAAACATAAAGTTGCTACTGAGATGGTTACTTTACCTTATTCGTCTTAAATCATAGCCTAGCATTCACTTCTGCGTCTGAGATCTGTAGTTCGATTTCCCACTCTTCCAATATCGCTACAGAAATTAAATAAAATTCATAACCTTGCATTTAGGAGCTGCTGATTTATCAGAGGTTTGATGTATTCAGGATAGCCATCAGTTACAACTGAGTCATTGAGCGGATCTTTCCAAGCCTCATCATACAGTTTTGGATACACATTCCCATCGTAGCATCCAAGAATTGAGCCAAGAAAATGGTCAGTGTAATTAAATGCATCAACAAGGGCAATAACATTTGGACGAACCTCGACATACAGAGCTCTAAGTTGATCATTGGCAAGTGAAGCTTGCTTGGGATTCAAGCTACCCGTGGAAATAAAATCCCCTGAATATTTGTGAATCAGATGCAAAGCATATATGTAGCAGAGGGTCTCCAATTGTTGTTTTACTCCGTTTCCTTCAATTTTCTGCTGCAATTTCTCAATGAATTTGGAGACAACGATCAACTGGCAGTGAGCAATTGCAGCCTCTACTAAATCTGGTGAGAGTTCAGAAAACCCTTCTGATGGATCTGCAAACTTGGCAAGATTTTGAGCACAAGCAACACACATTCTAATGGCCCTTGCTTCGAATACCTTGAGTATTACATCGGCTTTCAACCAGTCCTCAGCTTTTTCAACACTACAGCAATATTTGATCAAATAATGATCCATCAGAACCATATAAGCTATTGTTCCAGAAAGCTTATGAGTTTGATCAGAATGAAGAAGCTGAGAAATAGTCTTCATGAGGAACCTTGCAACCTGCAAAAGAAGAACAGTGTTGTCCCCTTCATACGTACATGCAGGTGCGAAAACAGCATATAACTCGGGAAGCCCGCTGCTATTTAGGTATCCATGGCCACCACATAGTTTCCGGCATTCGTCAATCCCATGAACAGCTGAAGATGTAGTCAAGGACTTCAAACCCGCCGTGCATGCATGAGCTTCAGCTAATGTTGAAAAATCATTCGCTTCCAGTTTTCGTGTCAAATCGGTATATAGGCTTTTCAGCCACTCACCAATGAATCTGAAAGCATAGGCAGAAGCTAACAGAGAAAAAAGTCTACTTTGCTGAGTCTTGTACTCAATCACTGGGGTCTCAACCGCAATACCATTAATCTCACGATTTTGTGAACCAAATTGTCGACGAACACTGCTATATCGAGCAGCTATACACACTGCTCTTGATAAAGCAATTGAAGAATCAACTACAATAGTTTTCCTCACATAAACCATAGTTCCATAAAGCAGCTGCCTAGGAACATTGGACAGCACATATTTTCCTTCTCTTGTGACATGTGCCACCCTCATCAGCATTTGATTTCTTGGTATTCGCACGTGATCAAATCTTAGAACACCATTGTCCACGGAATTGAAAGCTCCGCTTCCAAATTTTGTTCCTATATCACCAACTGTTATGCCCGGAAGAGCAAGTGATCATCCAAACTCCGAATTTGGACAATGAAGCCATTGACGCCATGATCTTGGCCGTCGTGAGTAATAACCCGGGCATAGACAACAGCGTGAGTTGCAATCTTCCCCAATCCGCCAGACCACCATTTGCTCGAGGTGAGTGTAGGACTATGGATGATGAACTCGTCAGTCGTTGGATCAAATGTCGCGGTGGTCTCAATCCCTCGAACATTCGAGCCATGTCCGAGCTCAGTTTGTGCATAAGTACCAATTATGCGCATCGTGGTTGCCAACGGCAACCACTTGTTTTGCTGCTCCTCCGTGCCTGACCCTTTGATAGCGGGCACAAACATTCCCCAATGAATGTAAGCGAATGTCAGTTCGTCCACATAAAACCATAGCCATGAAGCCTCTTCATCTGAAAGCCCAAGCTCATTGATCCTTTTCCAGGCATGAGCTGCTTTTCTCAGAGCCTTTGTGAACAACTCCTTCCTACTTAGCACAGCTCTATTCTCCCGTCGAAAGCTCGGATCACTAGCCACGAGGTGAGCCATTCGATCAGAGACTCGAAACTCGTGGGAAGAACCCGCCCAGACGATCTTCATTGCCTCCACGTCAAACTTAGCCTTGCTCCTCTCATGCGCCAAATGATCTGAACAAATCATTTCATACAAACACAAAGTTGAACAGAATGCAGTGTATCCATATTATATATGTTAGCATAGAAATCACAAACACAAAGACCAAAACATGAACTACAACTTAGAGAAAAATAACCAGTTTATGTATATGAGAAAACCAGCAAGAAGAGCATACCTGCACCAGTTGCAGAACTCGAAGCCATGGCAGCAAGCTTTTAGTGTGCCTTCTCTTCTCTTGCAGATTATCAAGAGCTCGACTTACAAATAGGTTTAAGTCCAAATATGAGCGTGTGTTCTGTGAGAAGAGAGACCACTATATATATACATATAAACTTTACCATAACAAATTAGGATTCCCTATTAAAATCCATATAGGAAACAAATGCTTGTTTCCTTGTTCTAATCTTAATGCTATGTTGGATAGTGGCCAAATTAGTGGCCAAGTGAACAACAAGCCAAATGCCTTTTGGCTAGTAAACAAAGAAAAGTTTGGTGGACATCATCATGAGTAAAGACACAATGATGATGTTTGTTGAAAAGAAAAAGGAAGGTCATGATGATGTTTGTAAAGGAATGATTATTCCTTTACTTTGGATTTTTTATTGTATGCTTTTGTTTGGATAAAGGTTGCAGCTGAATGTGGGAGAGGTGGGGGAGCGGCATCAGATGAGAGCCATACCAGGGAGAACGGCTCTCCCATTTGAAACAATGCTGCTCCTTCCCATTTGTTTGAAATCCTTTTTTGTTAGTAATCCCTCAATCAAAGATGTTGCTGCTACATGTTGTGTAGCTTTTGGGAGAGATGGTATTTGATGTGTGTCCATCTTCTCCAATTGTTCTTTGTGAGAGTGGGAGCTATTGGGTGTATGTGGGATTTGGGTTTGAAAGTTAAAACTCTATTTGTAATCTCTTTTTGATATTAGTGGAATTTCCTCGTCGTCTTGGTACTGGACGTAGGCTTACGCCGAACCAGTATAAATCCTTGTGTCATTTGGATTATTTGCCTTATCATATTTTGCCGTTGTAGTTTATTGGTTTCATATTTGACGCTTCTGCACAACAAGCTATACAAAATCCCTCTTTGACAAGGATTAGCATTCCTTTTACCAACAAGACTTTTCTATCAAATTGAACACCTATAGCCGGTCCTATAACTTCTCTATCTCATACTCATATTCTTATAATATAATAATTCTAAATTCAATTGAATACACCTTAAGACCATCTCCAAAAGAGATGTCAAATTATAAGAGTCAAATTACAATCACAAGTAGAAAAAAAAAAAAAAACTATTTGCACGACAGAATTTTACGCGACGAAGCAAAATTCGTCGCTATAGGTAGTATAGCATAACGAAAAAGAGACATCGTCACGCAAAATTATCGAACATTGCGCAACGACAATTTTCATCGCAAAAATGATCTTTGCAAGACGAAAAAACAACGTCGTCACACAAACTATGGGAAAAAAACGCAGGTAAGTCCTTTTTTGGTGGCAAAAACAATGCACACGGAACATTTCCCACTGAAGTTTTTTACTCTAGACGGTCAATTATTTGAGTAAGAGGATTCAATGCCATTAAGTGAACTTCATACGTTATTTTCATGAATGCGAAAGCATGACTGCAGTCCAATTAATTCTTGAATTGTCCCATTTTTTTGGATAGTTTAAGAATGCATAGTTATGGGTCATAGTTTGCGGTTCACGAATTAGATTTCGATAAGGAGAAATTTGGTAGTATGTTTGTGCGTTCTTCGAGTGTTGCGTATGTATTTAATATATACGTGCTGCAATTGAAGAACTGTAGTGATATGCTACCAAATTTTTTCGACATTGAAATCTAATCTGATAGAGCCGTAAAATACGACATGTAGCTATACATTCCTGAATGGGATAGGACCCTTACCGGAGGCATAAGGTGGCATGTTATAATTGAAGTGTTAGTAACCATTGTGATTTTGTTTTGTTTGCAGGCGATATGGACAGACAGTGGATACACAATCCTAACAGAATTGCAGAAAAATATCTGGATGGAATAAATTAGTTTATTGATTTCGCAATGGCACACAACTAGTGTTCACCTATAATTCGATGTCCGTGTAGGAACTGTAATAATTCAATGGTTGAGAATTATGAAAATGTTCGATACCATTTAGTAAGACATGGTATGATGGAGACGTATACCACTTGGAATCATCATGGGGAACGATTAGTACATGCTTCATCTTCACATGTGAACCCATTAGTTGAGGCAATTGAATCTTATGTTGATCCAAATGAACAAATTATGGATATCCTAGAAGATGCTTTTCCAAACTCCTCGACCAATTTTGACTAGGAAGGGGGAGATGAAGTCCCTCGAAGCATGGATAGTGAAGCATTTAAAAATTATGAAAAACTATTAAAAAGTGCCAAACAAGAATTATATCCCGGTTGTGAGGATTTTTCGGTACTGACGGCTATTGTGGAGTTGATGCATGGAAAAATAAAATTTTGTATGTCCAACCAGTGCTTTGATTATTTTTTGGGCTTTTTCAAGAGGATGCTTCCAAAGGACAATTGTTTGCCTAAAGATCACAAAAATGCGAAGAAGGTGTTGAATGGTCTGGGATTGGGCTATGAAAAAATTCATGTGTGCAAAAAAAATTGTGTATTGTTCTATAAGGAGAATGAAGCGCTAGATAAATGCCCTATATGCAAAGAGTCAAAGTTTAAAATGATAGCTCAAAACAAAATGACAAAGATTCCATAAAAAATTATGCGTTACTTTCCAATAACGAAGAATTCTACCAAGAATGCTTAAAAATAGATATCTATTAAAAACTATTAAGCAAACAGACCCTTAATACAAACAGAAATCCGATATTGGTGTGGAAGCCATACTTATCCTATAGAGCTTAAGTTGGAGATTACAAAAATATGTATGCTTTAACTAATGGAAACACGCATGCAGAATCTTTTGGTTTAGGTTGACAATTAGATTATGCTAATCATTAATTGATTAAGTGGGGTTGACAATTAGATATGAATGGCCATGATTGCACTCAATTAAGTGGGGTTGAAGGATCATGTGAGCTTCTTTGGCTAACCGAAGACTGAAAGGGACTAACAATCATAGAGAGATGGAATAGCTTAGGGCATCTGTATCTCTGCCGTTGAGGACAATATGACTGATATGTGTGGGGTTACATGGAGAAAGAGAGATGGGGACTTGATGATCAAATCACACAGAAAACAGCCTCCTCATCCCTTTTCTTCTCATCCCTAAAACCCTATTTCCCTCTCTTTTCATCTTTTAGACTGCTCTTAGGGTGTCTTGATTTATGTTCTTACCTATTAAGATGTTTTAAACGTGTTTAAAAATAAAGAAAATAATATGGAATGAACAGCTGATTCAATTACATTATTGCTAGCCTATTGTGAGGTACTAATTAAACAAAAAGTACAAAAAAATAATTATTAAAAAAACAATATTAAAATGATTAAAATACCCCTACATTATTTGATGCATTATTTTGGGATGCCTTTGAAATTTTTTGTCTTGGGAACATTTTAGTCCAAATATTTTTGTTCAAGCTTGATGACACCAAAAAGGGCCACAAATAAACATCAATAGACTTACTCGGATCCTTGGTTATCAACATAGTCATCATCATATATTTTTTCTTCATGCATTTCCAAGGTGGCAAATTGTACAGAATTGTAAAGATTAATCAAGTGCTGTGATTTTGGTTTAATACCGAACGGAGAAGGACAAGTCAATGCAAGCCATTGGTTGCTAGTACAAAGTACGTTCTCTCTCTTTCCTTCACTGAGTGATGCAAATAAAGAAAAAAGGAAAGGTCCAGAGAGAGAGGGAGACAGAAAGACGTGACGAGGGATGCTTGATAAGAGACATTGATAGTGGCATATCCACCGGATTTCCATACAAAAACAATCAAAATATCTTGACTAATTTGCGGTGAAATAAAATGACTAATTATTATGTTTTTTTAATCGACTTATTGCCTAGCAATTAGCATATATATACTAGCTAGAAGACATTTTTTGAATTACAACATGTTACACGCGATTTACCGTTTTAAATGTATTTATATGCGTAAACTGACAAAAGGAAAGTCAAATATTTGAAATAAATGAATAATCTTAGATCATGCTAAAAACACCACCTCATAAACTAATTAAAGTAATTCAATCCACATAATAAAATTAGTCTCTATAGAATTTATATTAAGAATAGAGAAAATAATATTTAATAAACAACTGATTGAATCACATTATTGCTAGCCCATTGTGAGGCTAAGTCCATCCTCATTCCCCTTAGTGTAGATAATATCGTTTGTTAAAAACAATTCATTTGACAACTAATTTAATCACATTATTATCTGTGTGCGAAATATCTTTTTTATAACCGACATTACACACCTCTTAAGATGTTTTGAACGTGTTTTAAAATAGAGAAAATAATATGGAATGAACAGCTGATTGAATCACATTATTGCTAAACTATTGTGAGGTACTAATTAGAAAAAAAAATGTACAAAAAAATAATTATTAAAAAAGCACTATTAAAATGATGAAAATACCCCTACATTATTTGATGCATTATTTTGGAATACCTTTGAAATTTTTTGTCTTGGGGACATTTTTGTCCAAATATTTTTGTTGAAACTTGATGACACCAAAAAGGTTCTACATTATTTGATGAATGTTGTGAACATTCCAAGTTTAAGTATGATTGTGTAAATCCTAGATTAAATTTGATTCTAGTTATCCTTTCCTATTACAACTTGTATTACTTGGAGAAGAAGGAATATCTTCTCTCCCTTTACTACTATAAATAAAGGCACAATGTAGGAGGGATAACAACACACATTCCCCTACAATTCTACAAACACACATCTCTCTTCCCTCTCTCCTGTGCCGCCGGCCCCTCTCCCTTTTGTCAGATAAAAATAGACCACAAAACGTTATCAGCACTCTCTTACCGCTGCGCTTAGGAATCTAACGTTGGAGAATTTTTTTTCTTCATCAAACCA